CAGCAAAGCTTCACCTTTAGAATATTTAGCAGAGCCCTCGTGGCCCTCAGTTCCTCTTCAAGCTTCTCATCTAATGCTCTTTCCAAGAGGAAACATCCCCAGCCGAGATAGAATATGAAGATCCTTCTCCAGCATCAGGGGGTGTTGTCTAATTCCTCAGACAAACACTGCCACCCAACAATGTCACAGGCACAGGCCTGCAGGAACCTATATAATCCTGACACAGGGACTGTGTTGACATTAGTAATCTCATAAAGATGGATTTGCTGTTTGCTCAAGAGCTTTCAGTACAGACTGTTAACCAAAGATAGGAGGTAAAAGCAGATTTCTGAAGGGTCAGAGCTCTCCTTCAAGGCCCTCTTGAGGGACAGGGAATGTGGAACTGAGGGGCAGGTCTTACTTTTCTCCCTTATCCTCTGAGTCCTGAGCACAGGTCATGTTCCTACTTAGTCAAGGGTAGGAATGAACAAACGCCACCCTGCATTCATCTGTAGTATAGACCCAGGTGGAAGACCACAAATTGAACAAGCATTGGATGCTAGTGAAAAGTATATATGCAAAACCATGAGCCAACACCATTCTCAATGCAGAGAAATGAAAAGCATTTTCCTTGCTATCAGGAACCAAACAAGGATGCCCACTTGTCACCACTTCTATTCAATATTGTACTGGAAGTGCTTGCTAGGGCAATACAACAGGAGAAGGAAATAAAAGGCATCCAGATCAGCAAAGAGATGGTTCAACTATTGCTATATGCAGATGATATGACAGTGTACACAGAAAACCCCAAGGACTCAAACAAAACAAACACAAAAAACCCCCAACACTGTTAGAGTTAGTAGACCAATTTAGTAGAGTGGCAGGATATAAGATCAATATCCAAAAATCAGCTGGATTCCTCTACAGTAACAAAGAGAATTCAGAGAAGGAAGCCAAGAAAGCAATACCTTTTACAATAACCAACCACAAATTGAGATACTTGGGAGTCAACCTAAGTAGAGACACAAAAAACTTGTACAAAAAATAAAACAAAACAAAACAACAACAAACAAACCCTACATAATGTTTCTGTGAGACACAATAAAAGATCTAAATGGAAAAATGTTCCCTGTTCAGGGATAAGACGACTCAACATTATTGTGAACACTTGCTACATGCCATGCACTGCTGTGCTACACACGCATCATCTCATTTAGTCTTCACCATAATCCTTGTGCTAGTGTTTTCCACCCATATGAAGTAACTTGACTCACTAAGCAGCGCACACTCGCATGGAATGCTGAGTGAAAACACAGGCACCAACTGGCCTCCCATGCAGCCCTCTCTTTGGGATCCTACTGCTTCTCAAGCTATTACTTCTCAGTCTCCTCCAATGCACACACACCACCTTGTCTCCTGAATCACTAAAGAACAGGTTACCAAGCCTTGCTTGTAAAAAAGCAAAATAATAAATATTTTCAGCTTTGCAAGTCATACAAACTTCATCACAAAAATTCACTCCTACCCTTGTACTAGAACGTAGTCATAGATATGTAAGTGAATCAAAGTTGACTGTTTTCTAATATAACTTTATCTTTAGAAAGACTAGACTATAAAATGAAGGCTGCATAGTGGACTGGACTTGAGGGGAAGGATTGTATAGCAATGAAAGAATTTTTCTTTTACTTTTCAGAGAGAAGAACAAACTGGAGGGGAGGGGTGGGCAGGGAGAAAAGTGCAACAATGAATGAATGGAAATCCAAAATCTCTGTAAGTTTTCATTAAAATTAATAATAAATTTTTAAAAAGACTGGAATGGGTGAAAGGATATTCTGAAAGGAATAGATGATTAACAACCAAGTGCATGACACTTAACAGTCTAATAAGGGGACTTGGAGGAGAGGAGGGAAGAAGTTGTACATTAATGAACAAATCATTAAAAAGTCTAATTGTTGCCCATCCAACCCCGTGCCTAACAACTACAGCCCAAAGCTCAGCCCTTTGGCCTCATCCCTATCTACATGTAATTCCTAAATGCTCCCACGCAGTTCCATAGAGTCAATTCCAACGCATAAAGACTGTTTGTGTTGTTAGGTGCCATTCAGATAAAATCTTCAGATGCAACATTCAGATGCAACATCTTCACAGCCCCCGCTTTGTTGTAGCCACCGTGCCAATCAGTCTTGATGAGGGTCTTCCTCTGTTTTGTTGACCTACCTTTTCAAGCAGAATATCCTTTTCCAAAAACTAGCCTCACCTGACAACATACTCTAAATATGTGAGACAAAGTCTCAGCATCCTTGTCTTTAAGCAGCACCCTCACCACACTTCCTCCAAGACGCATTAGTTTGTTACTTTTGCAGTCCATGATATTTTCAATAGTCTTCTCCAGGACCACAATTTAAAGGCGCTTTTTATTCTCCAGTTTTATTTATTCATGGTCCAACTTTCACAAAAATACAAAGCAATTTTAAAATGCTAGGACCTGGACTCTTCAGCACTTTGAAGAGAACCTTGACACATCTGCTCAATGCAACACATCAACTGGTTTCTTGACTTGCTTCCACATGTATTGATTGTGGAACCAAGTAAAATGAAAGCACTGGCAACTTCAATCTTTTCCCTATTTATCATGAGGCTTACTGGTTCAGTTGAGAATTTTATTTATATTGAGGTGTAATCCACAGGGTAAACTATAACTTCTCCACAGGAATCCCAAGACTGTCATCTTTAATGAGGGTAAACGACATCTTTCTCCTTTGAAACATTTGGTGAGCTCAAACTGCTCATCTTTAAATTAGTAACCAAATGTTTACCCACTGTCCATCAGGGATTCTGTGGTATACGCTAACGACTTCCAAGTTCATAAAACCAGCCTGGACTTTCCCTACACTTAAATCTCATGCACACAACTGTCTCTACTCAGGTATCTCCTGTGTAGACACCAAAGCCTATTCCAAGGTTGAATTCCTTCCTAATTGTCTATCCCTTCACCCAAACCTCCTGTAGCATTTTCAGCTCAATATACAACTCTACCATTAGAGGTTGTCAAGGAGGAATACAAATCTTGACGATATTATAATTTCCCAACTACTCTGTGGGAGAAATATGGACAATCTCCTCCCATGTGATTGATTTACTGCCTCTGAAGATCCACTAGAGAGTCAGCTGTGGGTTAGTCCTGACTCTGGTGGCTTAATGATAAGGAGTTATTCTGCCAGCCCAAAGGCATGCAGCTTGAATGCACCAGTTGCTCCGAGAGAGAGAGATGGGCAATTTCCTGTGTAGTTTACAACCTCTGATAACCTGCTGCAGGGTCAGCTATGAGTTGCTTCTGACTCAACGGCTTACAAGGCTACTGTAACAAAACACCAGGGAACTCATGCCTTCAAAGAGTAGATACTTATTGTCTTAGTTCTTAAGAAACTGGAGATCTGAAATCTGTGGAATTCTTTTGAGGATTTTGTGTCAAATTTGTTTCATGCATTTCTCTTCACTTCTGGAAATGACCAACAATCTTTGAAGGTCCTTGGCTTATAGCTATGCCCCCTCCAAACTCATTCCTCACAGACCACCTTCCCTCTGTGTCTTTGAGTAACTCTTCTTTCTGATAAGGATATTGTTGTTAGGTGCCACCGAGTCAAGTAGGACTCATAGCAACCCTATGAGCAGCAGATGTGAACCCTGTCCTACCTTATGCCATCCTCACATTCTCTGGCAATACTTGAGCCCATTGCTGAAGTCATTGTGTCAATCCATGTGGTGGAGCTCTCTTTTGCTGACCTTCCAGCTTTCAAAGCATTCCTTTCCAAGAAACAGTTTTTCCTACACTTTGCCAGCGTTTGTGAGGTGAAGCTTCATCCTCTTTACCTCCAAGAAGCATTCTGACTGCACCTTTTCCAAGACGTATCTGTGTGTTCTTTTGCCAGTTCATGAGATACGCTGTACTTGTCTCCAATATCACAACTCAAAGGGTAAACAAACTAACAATCCACACAAATGTGTGTGCACCAACACAACTCAAAACAGAAGAATTGATGGTTTTGACCTGTGGCAATTGATAAATCATTAAATGAGGACCCGTCCTCGTCCAGTACAATCATATATTTGAAGACCCTATTTCAAAAGCATCTCCAAGTTAAGCACTCAGGTTTCAACAAAAAAGCTATTTGTTGGAATACATGCAGTGACTCCACAGGAGAAATGCTTGCTTAGCTAGCTGCCCAAGTCAAGCGGCAGCCTGGAAAACCTATGGAACAATTCCACCGTACAAAAAGGATCTGGATGACTTGGTAGCTGCTGAGCCCACCTCTACCAAGTCCGTGAGTTCTCAACCTCAGCAACATCCACAGTACAAAACCAATTCCTATGAGGCCACACATTGCTGCTACGCTCCTCAGACCTAGTTCCCTCAAGGCTGACACCAGCCACCCCTCCCGGGACTCTCACAGGGTCTAATAATCCACAGCAATGGCTACATGCAATTCACAGGACCATGCTCTCACTGATGGGGTTGAGTAGGGAAGTTAGCAGGTTGAAAACGGGAGGTAATTGAAAGTCAAAATTTAAATAAAAATCCCATTCAAATACTATATTCTCAAAAACTCATTGTTGCCAAGTCAGAAACAACTCATAGCTCACCCTCCAGCTGGTTTTCAAAGACCAAGTCTCACAGGAGGAGGTTGCCCACCTTTGTCCTGCTGAGATTCACGTAGCCTGCCTTTGGGTCGGCTTGCCCAGTGGGCCACCAGAGCTCCCTAATACAGTTAGAGAAAAGGGAATAAAAATCCCATTTCCAAACAAAGCCATATTCACAAGTACCAGTGGTTAGGATTTAGGACTTCAAAATGAATGTAATTCAGTTTTATGAACTGAATTGAATGAGTAAATGCAAAGAAGTTTCTTGAACAGTGCCTAACAAGGAGGAAAACATTATTTAATGGTAATAAATGTGTTGTGTATGGCCCATAATGTGCTTTTTTGTGCCCTTATTATGAAGTATTCACATTCCCCTGCAATACCCCGCCCCGCCCCGACCTCAGACATCTACAGCACATAAGATCCAAGCCACCACTCCAGGGCAACGATTTACAGGTGAAGCAAACAGGGAACGACAGTTACATGAAATTTTAAAGACATCCTGAGTATTCTCAGTACTCACCATCAGAATCATAACTTAGGAAGGTTTCGAAACACATGTTGATGTAACACAGACACAAACGGACCTAGAACTAACTCTAGCATTTCTAGTTTCCGTGGACTGCATTTTCTACTACTGTGATATTTAGACCTGATTCTGTTACAACAATAGTAGCTGCCCCCTGAGATTTCTTACAAAGGAATTTGTATCACTTTGCAACCAATAAAAACTTTATTAGTGCATTTAATAAGTTTGGAGCTTGAGATGCTACTTCAATGGGAGCTAGTAATACTTTAAAAATGAATTCTTTTTCATTATAATTGTAATAAATGATCATTAGTAAAACAGTTACACAAATATCAAAAGAAGAAAAGAATTAATACCTTTCCCCTTTCCCTACTCACTGTTGTTCTGTTGTGTACTCTCGAGTCAGAGCCGACTCAGAGCTGACCTTCCAAGAGGTTTTCAGAGGCAGTTTGAATCACACGTGAGGAGATTACTTATCCTTCTCCCACAGAGCAGCTGGTGGATTCGAACCATGTGCCTTTGGGATTGCAGCGCAGCTTCTTGCCACTAGGCCATCAGAACTCCCTCCCCTCTGCACTAGATGTGCAAAAAGTCTGATGAACTTCATGTACAGTACACCTTCACTCCGTATTCTAGATTATTTTCTCATGAGGAACGTGACTCCTGGATCTTCATGGAAACTGACGACTAAGTTATGACTTGAACAGTCAGTCCCAGCACCTTGGAGTTGGTGACTGTGCATAAGGTGATGGGGCTTTGAATCTAAACTGGATCTCTAGCCTGAAAAGTGACAGCTTACCTCTGAACAACCACTGCATCTGCTTAAGATCTGAGGCCGCCATACTGAGCCTGAGTGGTGGGATGAGGGTTGTACCTCTAATCTAATTCTTATGCTGCCATGTACCAGAGTTCATCTCTCGGCCCTCTCACTCCCGGTCCCATCACTTCATTGTTCCATCCAGCCGCCCACGCTGCTCCCAAAGTGCCGTAATCACATATTGAAAGAGCCATGCAGATCCTACCATGGTCTTAAAAAAAATTGCTAACAGTTAAATCTGAGTTTAGATGCAGGTTGAAATCGGGTGAATGCTTTCCTTAGCAGCAGTGAACTGGAGAAGGCCGTACTTTGCCCTCAGGGAGATAGTAATGGAACCATTTAGTCAAAACCTATTCTCTTAGTGGTTTTAGCCTGGCTTTAGCTGGGAATGTTGCCCTTGACAAATAGCCGGCACCTCCAAGGTGTTCCTCAGCAAGTTATACCTTAAGGTGGAGCTCAGGTATATGTGTGTGTGTGTGTCAGGGGAGCGCGTGACTGGGCACATGTGAGGCTGGAGGCTAGCAGTAACGATTGCATTATACCTGCATCCTGTTTGATCAAACTTGGGGAGCTTGGGTCCACTGAGGCATGGAGCAGCTAGGTTCCTCCCTGACTCGATGCTCCTTTGCATCCGAATTCCGTAATGGGCTGGCAGGTGCCTGTACTCACAAACACGTGCTAAACAGAGCCGCGCTCCTCTGCAAGCCAGCTAGTACAGTGATAAACATGCACCCCAGAAGTGATGGGAAAGGGGGATCTCTGGACAGTTCTTTCTTAGAGGCTTCAGTTCCTCTGCTGTGGCTGGATGGAGCCACCTCAGGCCCCAGTCTCTTGGTCCTTCTTAGCTTTCTCTGTGTAACAGGCTTACAGAAAGACCCAAATGGATAAAAGTTAATCTTCAAAACTATCTGGACATCTCAGGGCAACTTATTCAGTTATATGGTTCCAGACCCTAACTTCCTCAGTTTAACATGCCTTGGACTTCCTGCAGTATCCTTGAGACAGCACCATCTTTTTGGTGTTCTCCAGGCCAAGAGCCCATCAGAGTGGGCCACTGTCTTTCTCATCACTGTGGCCAATTCTTAAGCAATTCCCTCCTCTCCAGAGGAAATACCTAAGGTTTCCTTCTTCTAATTGTATGTCCTAGAAATCATGTCAGGATGAAGAAGAAATATGAGCAAGGGCCTGCAGAAAAGAAACCCAAAACTCACTCCCAAAGAAGTAAGTTCAGAGTTTCAATGGACAGAGGCCCGTGTCTGATTTCCTAAGCAATTATTCAAAATAGCTGAAGTCAAGGTTATATAAACACCCTATCACAGCGGTCCATCCTTAATTGGCTCCTAGCAAGAAATACAATCAATCTAACCAATTTAAATGTCCTTAAGAAGCTTATCTGATTCTAGCCTAAATTTGCATAGCTTACCTTTGAATAGGTACTAAATAATTAATATAATTACACAGCATCCATGTGATGCTTATGATAAATTATGTGTCCAGAACCATGGCTACATCTGCTATGAGGCCTTAATGTGATTTAACAGATAAGACCCAGTATTTACCTGAACCATTTGTCAAATTGTGAACCTCCAGTGATTTATGCATCCCATTTCTCTATGTCTATGCATACTACAGTCACATAGCTGATTTAGAGGACTCAATCATTCCGTAAAATAGTCTCTAATGCACTGCTTATAAACCTAAGGATGCACCAGAAGCAAAGCATTCTTGCGAAACCAAATCAAACCCCACCACCAATGCTGCCCGGATGAAAACAAGCAAACAAAAGACAGCTGGATCCCACGGATCATACTGTGGCACTGTGTCAAGGAAGCACCAAACCAGGAATCTTCAGAACCGAGCTACTGTCCCAGTTTTGTTACAATTTGCCTATAAGATGGGGGAAAAGTTATTTCATTCCTCTGACCCTCAGTATAGACACACAATGGGAAAGTTTTGTGGAGTTATTTTCCCCCTTGTTTTTAAAAATTATTTGTTTTTTATTATTATTAATTTTAATGACAGTTTACAGAGATTTTGGATTTTCATTCATTCATTGTGGCATTTTTCTCCCTGTCCACCCCTCCCCTCCAGTTTGTTCTTCTCTTTGAAAAGCAAAAGAAAAATTCTTTCATTGTTATACAATCCTTCCCCTCAGGTCCACTCCACTATGCAGCCTTTGTTCTGGACTCCTGTCATGGCAATAATACCTAAACATATATTCCTTTCAAACAGTTCTCTCATCTGTTTCAATGCTGTATACATAATTACTCCCATCTTTCTCAGTCTCCCCCAACCCCTATGTCAGTCCCGTTTTACAACCATGGTGTAGCCACTATGGAAGGCTGTATGGTGCTTTCTCAAAAAGTTGCAAATAGAAATACCATCTGACCCAGCAATTCCACTACTAGGAATATACCTCAAATAAACCATAACCGCCACCCAAGCAGATATATGCATACCCATGTTTTTCCCCTTATTTTTAAGAACTTGTTCATAATTTCCCCCAAATAGGTAAATATTAAAATATGACCAGTGGCTATTTCCTTCCAACATTTCATGGCAGGAACTCTTTCATTTCTATCTGTAGTTCTATCCATCTCCATATCTCTACTGATAGCTATAGCTTAGGAATAATAGTGTGTGGAAGGTGAGGACGAGTTTTAAGCATCTATCTAGAAGAGATTGAGATTGTTCACAGCTTCAGTTTGCTCGCCTCCACAGTCAACACTCTTGGCACCAGCAGCCAGGAAATAAAAAAACGTATTGCAATGGGAAAGTCTGCTGTTAGGGACCTCTCTAAAGTACTCAAGAGCAACGGTGTCTCTTTGGAGACGAAGATGCGCCTGATACAGGCCATGGTCTTTGCAATCACTTGTTATGCATCAGAGAGCTGGAAAATGACTAGGGAGGACAGAAGGAGAATTGACGCCTTTGAGCTGTGGTGCTGGAGAAGAGTATTGAATGTACCATGGACTGCTAAGAAAACCGATTCATCCTAGAGAGGGTTAAACCAGGCTGCTCCTTGGAGGCAAGGATTCTGGGACTTTGTCTGACATACTTTGGACATGTTGCAAGGAGAGACAGGTCTTTGGAGAGGGACATCATGCTGGGTAGAGTAGAGGGACAGCGCAGTAGGGGAAGACCCTCTATGAGGTGGATTGATTCAGTGACTGGGGTAATCGGGATGGGTGTGTCAGAGGCAATGAGATTGGCACAGGATAGAGCATGGTTTAGGGCTGTTGTACATAGGGTCGCTATGAGTCGCAAACGACTCGACGGCACATAACAACAACAACAACAACAATCTAGATTACATTCTGCTGGAGAAAGCAGAGAGGGTCAGTGAAAGAGAGGAAGAGCCTCAATGCAAAGGATTGACACAGGAATTACTACAATAGACTGGAGTGTGACAGATCATGAGGACGGTACAGGGTAGAGCAAGGTTCAGATCTGTTGCTCATTGGGTTGCTTATATTTTTATCTACAGCTTTGCAATTTGAGGTATAATAAGGTCTAATTGATCATTGGCCTATGGAGGGAGGGTCCTCACCCTCCACAGAGGTTGAGGTGGAATGCGCAACCAATGACTCTCAAATGCAGCTAGAACTTATCCCTGTGTGGAGGCTTGTACTATTATGCAAAACAGATTTCAGCAGAGTTCCAGACTAAGGCATAGTAGAAAGAAATGTCTGATGGTTTACTTCTAAAAGTGACCAGTCCAACCTCTATGTGTCACAGTAATCCAATCCATAGTCAATCATAAGGATACTGCAGGACTGGGCAGCATTTTATTCCTTTGTGTATGGAGTTTAATTGAGTTAACAGTAAGTAGCATTAACATCTATATAATGAAATACCACCCAGACATGTGATATTATGGAAAAAAATACTTCTTAAAATAAAAAACCTATATAACATGTTAGATTGAGCACCAAATTAAACATAGGATGTTGCAATGTAATAGAATGAAAGACTGAAACATAAATGCCAATGTATTATTAGTGTTCTCTGGGTGGTGAGCTTATCAGAGATTTTTATACCCTTCACTTCATT